CAAAAAAAAAATCACTGAGCCAAATAGAACATCCGTATCTTTTGGTAACATTCAAGTTACCAAACAGAGCTAGCTTTAGTTCTCCAGATCTTAAAAAAAAAATAACAGTCTAAATCAGTTCCAGTGCTTACAGTTATTTAAAACCCTGCAGTCAATATAACCAACCTTCTCATAAAACTTTGACCAAATAAATAAAATACATTGTCTAGATTTCTATTTTAGAGGATTTCTCTACTGTTCAAATTGTCCCATGAAATCACATGGTGAAAATGGATCTGGGTCCGAATGGTCTGAAAAATTGCTGAATTGTTTTATCGAACATTATTGAAGTGCTATTGTTAATACTCCGGTTTCCAAAGAATGATCTGTTTGTCCACACCACCTGTGATTATACTACTGCATTGTTCATTCATCCACATACACGTGACTGCACCTGCATTAAAGATACACAGTCAGGTTAATACGAAGCACTGTTCCAAAATCTGGGATGTTACCTACACAGAGTGCTACATGTACTAAGACTATGCCAAATATTGAGTAACAAAATTATTACTAAACAAAAATATTATGCATTTTTACTAAATTCTAAGCCACTATCCTAATAGACAAGGCAATCCCCAAAAGCTCAGTTTCCCCAAGCTCATTGAAAAAAAAAATAATCCAAAATGGCAGAATATTAAGAGAACGTTGAGTGGGATTCCAATATTTAAAAAAATAGACAACAAAATGTACTATTTTAGTCAATATTTGTGTGTTATGTATTATTCAGAGTTTCACACTGTTTGTTTTGCAATAAAGCAAATTCCAAATTTGGGTTACACTTTATTTCGATAGTCCACTTTAGACATTCTATTAACTATAAGTAACTACATGTCAACTACATGTCAACTAATTCTCATTAATTTGCAACTACATGTCTACTAACTCTCAGAGTAGACTGTTAGGGTAGGTTTAGGGTTAGTAGAATGTTGACAAAGAAAGTGTTAGAACATATTAAGCAGACAGTCTACTAATACTATACTAACTGCTAGTTGACATGTAGTTGCAAAGTTACTTACTGTTAACAGAATGTCTAAAGTGGACTATCGAAATAAAGTGTTACCAAACTGTTTTATTTCCTATTTGGGATTATGTATATGCTTTATCTTTTAAGACTGTTTTTTTTTCAAGGCTTTGTTAGATGCCAGTGTTTCCTGTCACAGCTATGCAAAGATTTGATTTCAAAAACAGTATCATATCTACTGAACTATT